ACTGATTAGTTATTGGTGAAATTTCTTTTCCATTCAAAGCATCTCTTAAATAATCCTTCTGCATTTAGATGAGAGAAGGAAAAAATTCAGGATATGGATGAAGGGATAAGGTCTGTAGCCTGCAGGTTATCCATAAGGTAGAGAAATATTCACACCAAGCTATGGCTGATCTTAATGTTTCCTGGAGCTAACTCCAGTTCATGACTCTTTACTGCATGATGAAGAAATATGAGAAAATGTTAAGGAACTCTGTAAAACAGACATCTCCACCTGGAAAGAAACAAAATCATTTTATTTTTGCCCAATAAATATGCATGAAGATTTCAAGGAGTGAGAAAGAGGTGAGTTGGTAAGATGTTGATGTGATGTCGGTATGATGGGGGACATGATCCGTCACCATGAAGTAGCAATTTTGGACTGCAGCCACATGCCTTTGTAAGTCAATATATGTGAGTTCTAATGCCAATCAAGCACACTTTTCTGAGGCCAGTATCTCTATCTCATCGTGGAATATTACATGTTTTCAGTAGCTGCCAGGTTAGAAACCGTATTTGGAAACTCTATGAGCTCAGTTGATGTTACTTGAGTATAATTCAAGAATGCCAGATTCAGAACTGACTGGAGCCACCTTATTGTCTGTCTGTCAGTGAGGTGCCCATGAAGAGAACCTCCCTGATAACTAACGGGTGAGGTGTAGCTTTCAGAAACATTGTTGATTCAGCTTCCAAGGACAGATCTTTAATGCTTTTCCAGCAGTCCTGCCCAAAACGACATGGTCCCTCCATACATCCCTTGAAGTCTACGCCACCCATAGGCAGACTCCAGCAGGCTGAGCCACTTGCAAAAATTGCTCAGCTAAAGTAAAAAGCACACATGACCCAAACAAAGTCTGGTTCTGAAGCCCCCATTCTACATCAGAAACCGTGTCTCCTCCCTCGAATGGTGAGCCAGCAGGAAGAAATTCAGGCAAGAAGAAAATATTAACCTTAAGTCAAGGGGACAGAAGACTGTCCCCTTCTCAGTGGAGCATGGGGTGGGGCTGAAGCTGGGAGAATCCGCAGGGCGAGAAGTGACAGTTCTTACCTCTCCACCGGAGCGTCTGATTCCAATGCCGTGTCACTCTCCAGGAATATCCCCTTTTCTACCTGCAGCAAGATCTTCTGCAAGTTCTGACAGTGCCTGAGGCAGAAGGACGAGTGCACGAGGTCCATTCTAGTCTTCACGCGCAGGGACACCTCCGTGACGTGGTCCATGGCGTCCCTCACGAGCAGCTCCTCCTGAGACTCGTGGAGACAGCGCATCACCTCGCTCAGGTCCATCGTCCAGAAGGGCTCGGACTTCAATAGCTCCTGTGCCACCCCGGTTGTCACCCGGCAGCCGAACGTGGTTTCCAACTCCCCGGCCATCCTCTCGTTCGCGAGGCCGAATAAAAAGCGGGCGACGTGGGCCAGGCCGGGGTTCTTCAGTCTTTCTTCCTTGGAGAGCAGCTCCCGCGCGTCCCTGACGTCGCCCCCAAGGCGACCTCTGGCACCCTCGCCGTCGTCCTCCAGGATGTAGAACACGGCAGCGAGGAACTGCTGGATGCTGAAGTGGACGAAGGAATAGCAGCCCGCGCTGTCCACGTCCTTCTGCAGGACCTCCGCATCTAGGAAGGGACGTAGCGCAGCCTCCGTCAGCCCGAGCGCCGCCAGGTCCTCGGCGTCAAACACCGATGTCCGTGCCCACATGCCCCCGGCGGCCAGGAGGCACGCGGCCTGCAGCGGCGCCGGGCAAGGGCGGCTGCCGGAAGCCGGCGTGAACTGGCCGCACAGGAAGTGCAGGAGCAGCGCGGTGGCGGTTCTGCAGGTGGTGGCAGGGTCCTCTCCGTGCTCCAGCTGCAGCTTCAGGCAAGCGCACAGCAACCCGCACACCGCGGGGGCCGCGCCCAGGCGCCACAGGCCGGGGTGGCTCTGCATCAGCGCGAGGGCTCGCAGCGCCTGCCCCTCATCCTCGAAGTGTTTCAGGATGCTCGCCTTCCTGTCTGGCTCCGACAGTCCCTCGACCTCCACTAGGAGCGGCTGGTCTAGCAGGTGCCGCAGCTCTGGCAGGGCCTCCGGCCGAGTGGTGACCAACAGCGTGGCCTGCGGGGATAGCTGCCTCTTCAGCAAACTCCCTAGGAGGACGGGCGCCGGCTTACGCATGTTCCAGTCGCTGCAAATGTCGTGGATGAGTGACCCCGAGGGCACTCTCAGCTCATCGAAACCGTCCACGACGAACAGGAGCTTCTGTGCCGGGGCTCGCGCCTCTGGGCGGGCTTCCTGTGCATCAGGTGTGTTCTTGGAGATCAGCTCTGCGAAAGTGCACGTCCCCTTGCGGTTGAGCTCCTTGCAGCTGAGATAGAAGGCTGGGCTGAGGGTCTTTGCGAGGCTGTCCCGGGTCCAGTCCAGCATCACCTTCTTAGCCAGTGTGGTTTTCCCAACGCCCGCAGGGCCGTGCAGCACCACTGTGTATGGAAATGGCCCTGCAAGCATTTCAGGATTACAGAATGGGATCAGCCTCTCATATCTCTGGGTGACAATGTGGACCTCGTCACTGGCTCCAGGCCAAAAGTTCTTCTTCAATATACTTCTGTATTCATCTTGTTTATCTTCAGTGATGTGAGGTAGGATAGATAGACAGGATATGGCTGGGTTATTCATTAGGAAAAAAGTATTTTGTGTTAAGTAGGAAAGGAAAAACAGGAGGAGTGAGGTTATACAGAATCACCTGACACCAAGCTCACTCCAGGAAGGCATGATACAGACCTGGCTTTCCTCCTTCCAAACCTTCTTTTGCTTCTCCTAGGTTTTTGACATCTTCTCCCTGTACTTTTGTGAGCTCTGAAAAATAGAAATTAAAGTGAGCTTGACATAAATATAGGTTTCCTAGATACAAGATGGAACACTCCTTAGCCATAAAAAAGAATGAAATGTTATCATTTGTGACAACACGATAGCTTGGTGAGGGTCTCAATGTGGTATTATCAAAGTTGTCTGAGCATCTTAAATTGCAAAATGTAAGAGAAACTCTATACAACATAGTCTTGCTTTTTTACAAACTGAATTATGATTCTTTCCAAAGTTCGTTTTCCCCTTATTCTTATGTAGTGAAGAAGGCATTGTCCATGAGACAAATGGTGATTATAAATAGTGGAGAAAATGAGGTTGGAGGGAGACAGAGTCCCCTCAAGTGAAAGGACAGCAAGGAGGGGAACGCTTCTCTTGGCTTATTTCAACATTGGATATTCTAAGACCAGCCTGGCTCTTTGTCTTTTTCTAAATGCTGCTGTATTTCTTACAGGTGTGCACATTTGGGTTCCTCAGTCTGTGTTTTCCCTGAAGAAAAGAGAGGATGTTATGGGCTTGTCATTATACTAGTATTGAAAGTTGTTTGGGAGAGAGTGGGACTTCAAGATGACTCAAGGTCAGAGCTGGGTCTTGACGTTTAAGCCCTGATTACATGGAAAGGATGGTAAGGAGGTACTGGAAATAAAATTAAAGTGATCACATGCCTTTTCTGGCAAGTGACTTCCCATGCAGTTCAGGATACATGACGAAAGGAATGGACA